CCTCGGGTCGACGCCAAAGGAGCGATCCCCGATATGTGGTCATGGCTATCGATGCACGTTTCTTCTCCAGGGAAAATGGGGGCATGCATATTACTCGTCAGGGTACCTTTGCATCGCGCGAGAACATCGCGATCGGGTACTGGAGATGCGTCTACTTCACGGAGGACTGCTCCATCATTTACCTGAGGCCTTGGTGCTATCCGCCCAACTTCCTCAACTCCGTGAGTGATAACCCGAGGAAGTGTCGGGACGAGATGGAGAAGTATCATCAGATCACCCAGACGGAACATATCCGCGAGGTGGTGTCCGTTCCATGCCATAGGTGCATGACGGCCCACCCGGTCGGCGCTCACCTGTGCACCGCCTGCTACCTTCCCATCTTCTATGAGGGCGTCGGAGACACGAACGGCGGCCCTCGCACGATAGCGAGCACCGACGGGGTGATTCCTCCCTGGCTGGCAAAATACGAGGGCTTCGTCCCCGCTCTGTGGAATAACGCAGACGCCAACGCCATCGGAATGGCCCTCTACTCGCAGAGTCCCGCCGTCGATGCCCGGTCCTTGTTGATGTCTGGGATGCGGCCTCCTAAGTACCTTGACAAAGAGGACGTGGATGGCATTTTCCGAAAACTTCACGACTCGCTCCGAGACGAAGTCCTTGACGGCAAATACCGTGACACGGTCGACCACAACGTGGAAGAGTGGGTAGCAAAGGCGATCTTGGTAAGGGGTCTTGCCTTCAACGGGAGCTCCGTCCCCGAATTCTTCGAAGAATATGAGGGATATGCGGCTGAGTGGGGCAGACGCCTAACCACCGCAAACTTCAACGCCAACCGGTGCGGCTTTTACACGTCCTACTACATTCTTGAGGCCCATATCATTGGGCTGAGAACAGGACACCTTTCTCCGATACTCCCCAACGATGTGTCCGGGGAGGGGTTCAAGTTCCAGGTGGGGCTGCTCGCACAGCACTGCGGGATATTGCAGGCCATGCGGAGAAAGGCCGGGTTCGATCCTGCCGCGCGCCTCAAACGGGCTATGGACACGATACGGGAAGGCATTAAGAAGGGGTACGTCTACACCCTCAACGACCTCAGCAGTATGGACGATCTGATCTACCGGACGTCCACCGTTGCCTACGACACCTGCTTGGCCGACCGTCCTCAAACCCAGGATGACATCAAACAGGAGCTGTCCGACCCTGTACCAAGGAAATACCGCTTCCGACCCCGCGATCGCCATCGACCCGGAATTCGCCTTACACCAGGCCCCGGCGTGAAGGACGAAGACGAGCCCGACTTTGCTGGATCAGCGGAGGATGAGCTGGGATCGGATGGTTCTTCGCACGAAGGTGACGAGAAGCCTGACGACCTTGACGAGCCCATGGGCGACGACGAGGAGGAGATCCCTCCCCCTCCGCCACCGCCCCCTCCTCCTGCGCCGCCTGTCCCGGTAGAACCGGAGACTCCCGTGGTGTCGCATGCAGGCGTCAGTTCTGGCGATGCTGTGCCAACTCCTCCTCCTCCTCCCGCTCCCATTGCGGCAGGCGTTACAACGACTGGGGATCCGTTTGAGGAAGAGGACATGGCCATCAATACTCGTGTCCCTGACACCGAGTCCGAGCTGGAGGGTGAGTCCGACCAACCCAAGGCCAGGAGGACATCTCGTGGTCGGGTCCCCGCGCCCGAAAAAGGGCCTAGCGGGCAACCCAGCTCTAAGAGCATGGCCCAGCCTGCCCGTCCATCCCCGGTCCCCGCGAGAAGCGGTGTGGAAGGTGGGGAGAGAAGGGGCAGGACCAAGGGTTTCTACACCCAGAAGGATCCTTTTACCGGCGAGGACGCAACTCCCCGAGTTCGTCTTCGATCGGGCGGTCCCGGATGCGTCCCCACCACGGGATGCCACCGGTTCCTTGGGCGGCCATGGCGGCTATGACCCGCGCGATGACGACAACGACGAGTGGGAGCTTCCCCCGGGTGTGCCTCGGACCACTCGTGCGGCAAATGAGTCGCGGCCCCGCCGAGATGACGATCGGTCGAGGACCGCGCTTGGGGCCCGCGAGGATCGTCGCGGTCCTAAGGGTGAGGGGAAGGGTCGAGGAAAACATCGACCTAGCAAAGGTGGACGCGAGGATCCTGGCCCGCCCCGACAAAGGGATGATCGTGGCAGGGATACCCGCGGAGGCCGACGCGATGATCGCCGACCTCCTCCACATCATGAGGAGACCTCCGAGAGGCGCGGCCCGGGGCGAGATGAGCGCCGCGGACGTGATGACCCGGGTGATGACCGTCGCGATCGCCACCGGGACCGGCGCAGGGATGACCGACGTCACCAATCAGATCCCCCTCCGCCTCGCCGACCTCCGGCTGGTGACCACAATAGGGGTGGTGGTGAGGATCGCCGTCGGGATGGAGGAGGTGATCGAGGTGACCGTGGTGGACGCCGGAGAGACGACGTGCCCAGGGACCGGGAAGAACCTGGTTCAGGGTGGTAGGCGGGTACCGCAATCAGCATCCGCCTTAGAAGGGCGAGGATAGTACGTGTGTCGCCGAAAAACGCGACCGCGCCGGTCCTCCTCTCGCCCATGCGGCGCTGCTGGGGGTGATGGTCTCCATTGCCCTGTACCGCTGATCCGGCGTTGCTCGTGTCCCTCCCGCACCGCTGCCGTGCGCGCCGGAGACGGTTCCCCCGGCGATCCTGTGTGAGGCTGTGACCGCACTAGAAGTGCCGGGCCGGCCGTAGCCGGATATTTTCACACCAATTTCGGAACTTCCGTTTCTAATTTCCTCCCAACTCGACTACTCTTCCAACCACTCCCCGGCGTGCAGTGAGGCGCGGTGATCCAGATAGGGTCCCCCTCCGCATGGTGTCGTCCCATGACAACGCATGAACGGCACGAGAGGAATCTTCGTCTGGTTCCTCCAATATGTCTTTGTTCACTCATGTGGTCCACTCGTCAAATAATCCTGTCGCCCCGATAATTCGGGGTGGTGGCGGGATTTTAACTGGGGCCCAGGGGATGCCGTTTGGCTCACCTCTGAGTTGACACCGGCATTTTTGGTTGGTCCCTTTCGTCGTGAACTCAACTGTCTCGCATCCTTTCTCTCGTCCAGATATCGGATGAGGGGGGTGTGTTTTGTTCACGTGTTGTTTCTTCATGTGGCAAAACGGCCGAATGGCCGTTTGGCTCAAGTTTTGGGAACTCCCGTCAAGTTCCCCTCGGGTTCACGCGCGAACGCCATACCCTGGCATTGCTCTTCGTCAGCGCAAAAGACTTTGCGGTGCCGCGGTGCTCTGGGGGTAGGAGGTGTTCGGTGGGCCGTCGAGGTGTCCTTGGGCCTGTCCCTCAAAGCTACTCTTTTGCAACCATATCCTAACCTTCCCAAACCTGATCTTCTTCAACTGTCACTCCCACAACCTGGTCATCAGCACCTTCTCCATTGTGCGTTGGGACTGGGTTCTTTTGGTATTTCGTGGATTACGTGTACCTCTTTGATTCCCTGGGCTACTTCGTGTTCGCCCAAAACCGCACCTTTTAAAGGGAGCCCCTGTCAGGCTCCATGTTAATTGGCGACAGGAAAAACTCACAGTTTGTTGCGTTCCTGTACTTTGACACACCCACCTGGTGCCTGGTTTCATGAGACCAATAGGGATTCTTGTTGAAACATACGTCAAAGTTTCATTGTAAGGTTCACTCAAAGTCGCCAAGATTTAAATTATGTGTTTTGGCTGGGCAACAGCTATGTAGTTATAGTACCGGCCATACAAAGCCTTGGTGACCGTCAACCTTTCGGTAGGGTTTTGGGTGCTCAAAGCGGAGGAGACGTGCCAACAAGAACAAACACAGCCTTTCTCCGCTGGGCTGTTTATCCAAATGGCTGTGGGTCAAAACCAATGGTACCATTTTGGGGTAGGTGAATTCACCACCCATTTGAGTCTGTTTTAGTGGTTGGATTGGGATGCTCACTGGGGGTACGCGCTGCGAGGCTCCAATTCGATTGATTTAGGGCCTTCAAACATCCTGGTTTTGAGACCAACCTCCGGGGAATGGAGGGGTCGGGTCCATTGAAAGTTCCCAGGAGCCTCTGGGTAGTGATAAATTCCTTTTAAAACCAACCAGGGAAAAGATTTGAATACATATGATTAAGCAAATAGAAGCAACCCGTTCCAAATCGAAATCAGATACTTCCCAAGGTTGAACTTATTGCATGTCTCCGTTGGCCTGCCGACCTTTGACGTGTTGGTGTATGGCCGATCCGAACACATATATATATATATTCTATTTGTAATGCCCCAGTGAGCATGGCCTTGAACTGCTGGGGTGGCTGCCTTTGTGTTCGCATTGCCTCAAAAGACTTGGAGCAGTGAGACCCAATCATCGCTCATGTTGAGAGTTGTTGTTTGTGTTTTGTGGCACACGCTTAAACATGCTTCTTTAGATCCATGGGAAGCGGCTAGCTTGCGAAAGGTTTCAATTTTGAACCCTTGGCAAAGCTGCTTCCTTGGTTGGGAGGCGAATGATCCAGCTGTCAAAGACCAGTGATCTAATAATTTGCTTGCAGTTTGGCATGCGTCACAACTGAGCCACAAATTAAAACCCGGGATATGTTTTGATTATGACTCCACCGAGCCAAGGATCTTTTCCATCCAGGGTTAGCGTGACGTGGCAGAAAAGACATATCCAAAACCTAGAGGGTCCCCTTTTTTGGCAGTCCATAGAAAAATTCGGGTGGATTCCACTTTGAGAAAATAGATATCTATAATAAGTGGTTTGCCTTTACTGTTCCTTTCAAGTAGTCTCAATATGTGCCATCCTCTTGCTTAGGGTTAGGGGCTCAGTAGTCTAGACAACCTTTGTAAGGCTTCCTGTTTGGGTACGACTCACAAATGAAGAGCTAGGGCTTTAGGCAGCTTTTGGTCATTGTTTCAATTTACCACGGTGCCATGTTCCACGTGCTGAGCCACACCCATTCACAGAACCAAGCCACCAGATTTGACAGCCAGGAGGGGCGGAGATCCCTTCGCGTCTCAGAGGATCGTATCGCCGAGCTGGAAGAGGCGAGTGTGACCGAAAACGGTGCGACCTGTCGCTACTACCGATACTGAGGTCTCCTCCAAAGTACTTCCATTTGCTTAAGAATATGTTTTATTAAAACCCTGTCGGTTTCCAAGGGAATCTATCACTACTGGATTTTTGTTCAAGGGGGCTTAAGCAAATGGCAGAGTATGTTATGTTCTACGGTAGACAAACAACATGGACCAAAACTTGACCGTATTATTTGCTGCACCCCAGATTGGGCTAAGAATAAACCAACAAAGAAGGGCTCGACAAATCAATGAAGCAATGGTCAACAAACCAATGGTCCAATGGTCAATACACGAGTAATGCAACTAAACGTTTAATAAACAAAGTAGGCATACATACTGGCGTGTGTGTTTTTGTTCGACCCATGATCTTTGGGCCCATAAGGCCAAAGGTGAAATTAAGGTCAGTCACGCAGGTGTGTAGTGAGGAAGGTAGGTTCCGGAACCTCCTTGCTTGGCGCAAAAGACAAACTAGCGTACCCTCATTTATTGACGCGGGCGAAATGGGGTGTCCAAAGTGTCCAAATTCAGGGTTGAAATGTGTGTGTGTGTGCTTTTGCTTTTTGAGCGTACCCCCTTTCACGTTGTCTTAAAGAGAAACACTGATATACATACACTTTGGGGTTTGAAATTTGTCAGGGCCTTGAAAGGGCTTGTGCCACTCACTGGGCATGAGGCGCGATCGGCAGCAAAAGGGCCGCTGGCTGTCGGAGCGGCGGAGTTTACTACCCGATTTAGAGAAACTTGGTAGAGCCGATGTAACCTTAATATGCATTTGTTGGTAGAATAGAACGTCAACACATGTTGGAGCTGCTCATTTCGAAGTGTGCAGCTGCCAATAAAGAGAGATGTGTCTGCTTTGTTGGTTTGTTGGCTGGGTTTTCTGGTTGGCTGCTTGGCTGGCTGGCTGGCTGGCTGGCTGGCTGGCTGGCTGGCTGGCTGGCTGGCTGGCTGGCTGGCTGGCTGGCTGGCTGGCTGGCTGGCTGGCTGGCTGGCTGGCTGGCTGGCTGGCTGGCTGGCTGGCTGGCTGGCTGGCTGGCTGGCTGGCTGGTGTGCGAATATTTCCCCGTTCCGAAAAACATAAAACCAGTGTTGATTGCGACTCCAACCAGGCCAACCATAAACAAGTGCGGATATCTGCACGTTGTGGCTCCAGAAAAAGAAGAAGAAGAAGAGTTGATGTGACTCAAGACTCATGCCAACCAACAAGTACGGATATTGTCCCCTTTGGGTTGCGAAAAGAAAAAGAGACGAACATCGTGTTGTTGTTTGTGACGAAGTAGATTGGTTGGTTTAGAAAGGAGATGAAAACAACCAAAACCAACCAAAAAGGAGATGAAACCAACCAAAACCAAACAAAAAGGAGATGAAACCAACCAAAACCAAACAAAAAGGGGAGGAAACCAACCAAACCAACCAATCAAAGGGTTTGGTTCTACGACGACACATCCCCTTCCCGGATGCTCCAGGCCCTTCGGCGAGCATCTCGCCGCGTGGCCGCGCTGCGCCGCGAGCTCGGCGTAACCTGCACACCAAGCAATCCAGCTAAACCAAGCAGGCGATCTTTGCCAAAACCAAAGATCCTGAGCTGTTCGGCTAAATGAACTGAGCCAACAAAAGCAACTCAAGAGAGAGGAGCAAGCAAGAAAGCAAGCAGCCAAGCAGACATTGGACATCATTGGACTGGTTGGGCTCGATGTATTTGTGCGTTTCTGTGAAAGGACTAGTTGCTTGGTTTGGGCTGGCGGACCTGATGCCCCAAACATGTCAATGTTGTATCGAGTGCGCTGATCGGAAGTGGGGCCACAAGCTCTGGCTTGAGCTGGGGCCAAAGAGCACCTGGTCAACTTTGGGGGAACAAACCAGGGGCAAGGAGCGACATGACACAGGTCTCCTTTTTGGTTGGTTTGGTGGAAGAAATAGAGGGCCCTGGTTCTTTTAGTGGCACTAAATCATGTACCAGGGCCATCTATTCTCCAGAAAAGGACTCCTATGGACATGAGCTTCGGTTGCGAGAGCTTGGGCCCATGAAGGTCCCCTGCTTGAATAAGGATTCCCTTCCACGAGCAAGCTTGCCGGGCTCGCAGAGCTCTGGAGATAGGGATGCCCAAATATTTTAGGTGGGTGAATGGTAGCAGCGAGTGCACATCCCTCATAATAATAATAATAATAGTAATAATAATAATAATAATAATAATAATATATATATATGTATATTAATATATATGTTGAGAAGCATAGCAAATCGATGGTCTAAGGCATATACCTTGTTTTCCAGCCAGTTCTTAACATGTCACCCTGAAGAAAAGTCAGTTCTCAGCTTGTCAAGAAGAAAAGTAAACCCTGGGTGTTGACTTCCTGTGAGTGCCTTAAAATACGAAAATCCTTATGTAGCCCTTAGGGTGTAAACCCCATTAAAAGAATGGTTTACCCAATTTGGATGATAACAATCCTTAGTAAATCATGGGGGTTATATGGCCATGGGTCATAACCCATGCCGATCCCATTTTGAGGCGGATGAACACCCATGTACCACCTATTTTGATGTTTACCAGGGGTACCATTGGTTTTGACCCACAGCCATATGAACCCCATTGTTTTATTGGTGGTAACTGAACCGCAGGGTATTTGATGTTCACCAAGGGTACCATTGGTTTTGACCCACGGCCATATGAACCCCATTTTTTTATTGGTGGTAACTGAACCGCAGGGTAGTATAGGACTTGGAGCGTGAACCGTTACGAGGTTGGCAGCAGCTCCTCGAAACCTGGCTCCGGAGCCGCAGAGACCAGGTGCTACAGGACCGCGAAGTCGTTTTTGGTACCGCGAGACCCCAGATCCTCCGGAGTGTGTGCGTGTGCCTGAGCGTGTGTGTTGGTGTTTTGTGGTTTTGTTTGTTAAATGGGTCTTTCGGTTAGTTCAAAGGGAAACTCTACAGGAAACAGGAAACACAGTTTTGAGGGTCCCCCTGTATTTTGAGACACACTTGGTGAGTGCTTGTGCATTTGTATGTGCTTTGTATGTGGGGTTTCTGCGTGTATATTGTATATCATGTTTGGTAAATGTGGCATTCATGTCCTCCGGTGTTCATTTCTGTGCGTAGCCGCCCGTGTGTGCATGATAAATAATATATATATATACATTATATTATCTGGAGCGAGTTTTCCCTGTCTTTTGGTTTTTTGTTTACGATTCTTCTGTGAGAGCATTTGTCCGAAGGAGTCTTCAATTCCAGGTCAGGAGCTGGTTAGGTCAGGGCAAGGGATGGGGAGTTACCAACGGAACCCCCCTTGTTCTTGACCATATCCATCATTTTGATTGGAGGGGTACATATTTCCCAGGGTTCGTTGGTTCATTGACTCTCCGTGTGCCCTTGGGTTCAACCCCCATTAAAAGAATGGCAAGGACCCAATTTGGATGATGCCAATCCTCAAATAAATCCATGGGGGTTATACCATTGTTTCAATGGTGGAAACTGAACCCGAGGGTTTGGTTTCGGTTTTTTCCTGTTGTTTGGCTGGGTGTTGTTTTTCTTTGCACAGGAGGCGCGGGCAAGCCGCGCGTGTGGCGCTTGGGTAACCGCATCCATCTCTGTTGCATCCGGTGACTGCGCGACTGCACGGCGTCCTTTTCATCGCTTTGTTTAGAAATAGATGCATCGGTTCCACCGGTTTAGATGGGTTTTTACATTTTTGTTAATCAGGGCCAGCAGAAAAACCGAAAAAGGTCACCTATCTGGTCAAGTCTGCATTCTGAAAGTCTTGAAAGCTGAGAGTAGGCGGACGCGGCATCCATACACCAGGCGCTGGGAAAACGGCGAAAATCTCGTCGACGCTGAGGCGTGGCAATGGTCAAGAGCAAGCGCAGGCGCCGAGTGGGGAGAGTCATCGCTTCCATTTAGCTTAAGGATAGGCTTGATTTTCCCCTGTTGGTTTTAAAGGGAATCTATCACTACTGGATTTTTTGGTTTTTACTTTTTTTTTTTGCAGGGGGCTTAAGCAAATGGAAGTCATCAGGAACCTCTCAGGAGTGAACCAGCGCAACCCCGTGCTTGGCTTGAAGTCACCAATGGCTAGTTCGGAATGTGTCGAAGCTAGTTGCACCTCGGTTTTAGAAGGGTTCAGGGAGACCAAACGGAAACCTGCTCTGGGTCTCCAGTTTTGACACAGACCCAAGATCATTGACATGTTGGTACTCCAATCACTTGTGGGCGGAAATGCCCGGATTGGTTTGTTCAAGCAAAACAACAACAAAATTAAAGACAAAAGGTTTTATTTATCGACGCGTTAAGAAGGACTGAAACACATGTGAGGGAAATGAAGGACAAATTTGATCAAAACCAAGGTACTGAAACATTAGTTGATGTAGGATGGACAAAATGACATGACTATGAGAAAGTGCTCTGGGTACTCCAGTTTTGTACCACAGACCCCAAGATTATTGATCATGTTGGTACTCCTCTCAATCACTTTGTGGGCGGAAATGCCCGGATTGGTTTGTACAAGCAAGTATTGCGAGTTAAGAAGGAGAAACACATGTGAGGAAATGAAGGACAAATTTGATCAAAACCAAAGGTACTGACAACATTAGTTGATGTAGGATGGCAAATGAACATGACATGAAAGTGCAGTTGGAAGACGTCATGGGTGTTGCTGTTGCTCTTGGTGTTCCACGTGTCACGCAGCAAGGCGTTCTAATTTGTCAGCTGAGCCCTGAGCAGACTCCAGGAATTCCCCTTGGTAGACCATACAGACCATGTCACTACCCATCATCCCATGTACCAAGAATACGTGATATAGATTAGGTTTGTTTCCGCAGGAGTCCAGAGCAAACCATCGAGAGCTCTGTACGTTGTACCCTTTCCGCCTTCAACGACAAAGGAAGCCCAGCGCTCGGGTCCAAATCCCTGTGTTCGCAGATACTTTCAAAGGGTCCAAGTTTTGTTTTTTCAAGTGTAGGAACTGTTTCCACCCCTGTACAGCCCTCAACCAGACCATCCTTGCGGGAAGCTTGGGCCCTTTGGGCCATGAGTCACTGGACGTCAGGAGCTGAGACGCTTGGATGAGGAGTGCGAAGAGCTGCGGGAGCAGAACCGCCAGGCGACTGGCGTTGC